AGTTACGAGTTGTATTGAGGAAGTACATTGATTAGTTACGAGTTGTATTGAGGAAGTACATTGATTAGTTACGAGTTGTATTGAGGAAGTACATTGATTAGTTACGAGTTGTATTGAGGAAGTACATTGATCAGTTACGAGTTGTGTTGAGGAAATACATTGATTAGTCACGAGTTGTGTTGAGGAAGTACATTGATTAGTCACGAGTTGTATTGAGGAAGTACATTGATTAGTTACGAGTTGTGTTGAGGAAGTACATTGATTAGTCACGAGTTGTATTGAGGAAGTACATTGATTAGTTACGAGTTGTATTGAGGAAGTGCATTGATCCGTCAGGTGTTGACGAGGCACAATAAAATTATAGCATTGAACTCATATCAATATATTCAGTGTTTACTTTGTTGTCGGTTACAAAGTTACACTGGTCTGTATGATGAAGTAAGAGACTAGGATGTTCCACAGGTGAACATATGGCTTCGAAGGGTGGATGAGCACAGGACCCTAAGAGCTACATTTTCACATTGCCTGTAAGTTGTTTTTGCTGCTCTACAATCCAGCATCCATGTGTCTTGTCGAGGGCAGTCTGCCTTTTTTATTGTTGCGACTATGGGTGGGTCTTTGCACAATTGAAAGAGCTCTTGGTTTTTCCGGATTCTACAAATAAAATTGTCAATATATTTTCTTTATAATTTTCCTCTACCATGAATTGAGCAGAGTATCTGCTTTTCTGTGACCAATTTTAATTTAGGCACCAAGTCCACTTGAGTATGTTTCTACTGGTCTCATGATAGTGGTGTATCTTGCCTTCTTTGTTCCCTTAGAGATATTTTTGCTTCCTAGTAGTAGTACCTTATGTAGGCTGAAATAGGAACAGTTGCCTGCTGTTATCCTTTCTTTCCCCACCAACATTATTTAATTGTAACTATTTATAGTTACCCTTAAATGTTTGAAATTAGCTATTCTCTCAAATGTGTAGTTGTTTGTATTGAATTTATTTTCAGCGTGGATGTTTCGTGACGTTATCATATATTTTGTCTATGCTTCAATTTCCTCAAGACGAGCGTTGACCGAGACCTCTTCAAGTTCCCCGAATGATTTAATTATGCCATTGCAGTCTCTACCAAAAAGCGCTATATCGTCTGCAAGGTACTGCAGTGGCTGGCTTTATAAAGATCCTGATGGTTTTTGTTCTGTACTACCTCTCTGGTTCCACTGGTGCTCATATGTATTTTATGATGACTTCTTCTAACGTGATGTTGAAATGGATACATCAATCTCCTTTTGCCTGTGTGATTGCAAAACCGTTTTTTTCATTTCTTGCTAATCCAACAGCCTCTAAGCAATGAATTTTAGAGGGTGTTAAACTTAAGAACTGAAACATATCCCGAAGATATTCATCTTTAACTTAAAGATGAAGTTTTACAATTTCCTTTGAATTTTAAACAAAAAAACACGGGCCCACAGAAGAACTCATTCTGTCTTATGAAGACCTTTATCAAAGTATAAATTATACAAAGGGTGGGTGCAGAAGCCTTTCCTTAAAAGTGAGGAGGCAATCTTGCAACATTTAATTTCTCAGGATAGTTAACTGCTCAGCAAATAGTTCCTTTTTCATAACTAACAGGAATTAAAAATAAATATATTCTTACTCCAAAAATAATGTATAATTCTACAATTTAAATAGCAAAAAGATTGTGAAAGTTACGTAACTGCCCCAATTTGCAATGGTTGCTATAATTTATTTGTCTAAGATATATCTAATTTTAAGAATTGACTATTTGCTGCAGATCTGATATCTATGCTATTTATAGATGGAAATTTGTCTAGTGTTACAATATTAGAGCTGGTGGCTGTTCAAAATATGTTTCCTTTTCTTTTTTACTAAGTTAAACACACTTTGCTTAAAATTAGATTCAGATAAACATAATAGAGCTACTTCTTCAGTACAAAAAACAAAAAAAAACAAAACAAAAAAAAGCAACAGTTCCTAATAACGAATCAAAAGATCAGTTTGTTTAATTAAAGAATCTTTTTTTTTTTCAAAGTCTCCAAATAGAATGACATTGTTTAATTAGAATTGTTTGATTCCTGGAGCAATAAATATATCATTGCAGAAGCCATGGGCAACACCCAACGCATACATCACAGATGTTTGAATCTCGTAGTGCTTTTGGTAGGTAGAAGACAGTGCTCTGGTCATCTATTTTAAAAGAATAGTAATAGTAGACATATAATTATGCTGCAGAAAATAGTTTAAATCATTCCATCACTAAATATAAGCTTTTGACTTAACTTAAAATTCCTTTAAGAGTCTCCTAAATTAATAATTTGGATCAAAAATTGATGTAGAAGAAAATTTAAGTGATCAAAAGTAATTCTTTAAATATTAACGTCTAACATTTATAACTATTTCTTTGCTACAAATGTGATTTGAGCAACATGAAATGATTTAATAGATTATCTCAGCAATTTCAATATAGCTCAAAGTTTCGCTTCCTGTTCTAAACATTGAGCTACGTTGACATTATTGAGATTTTCAAAAACATAAGTTTTATTTCTATTTTAACTTTAAGTATATTTTTCTTGTTTTGTATTGTCTTTTGAAAAAGGCATCTAGCCAAAAACCTTCTATATTATAAATCCTGTCTTTCTTCTCAAGACTAAGCACATATTGTTCCATTTAATAAAGTAGTTTGTAAATATAAACAGCAAAATGTCTACTTGAGCTTAACAGGCTGTTATTTACTGATTGAAATAACACTGAACAACTGTGATGCAAACATACTAGCAAAGTTTTGTATTGTAATCTAATGAAAGTTATCATCATATTTGAAAAAAAACGCTGATATGTAGGCTATAATGACACAATGTTAAGATTTACCTGGGGAATAGTATGAAAATGTTTTGACATAAGAGCTTTGTGACTTGGCCACTTTGGATTCACGAACCATTCTCAAACTGTAGCATAATGATGAACTGCCGATCTATTTGTTTTAACAAATGAAAGAGACATTTTAAATTATTTTTTTTCATTTGACTGATTTCTAGAGAAAATCATTTGTGAAATAGATTTTGACCCTAATTTTAAATTTATAATGTGAATTTACTTCTTTTATGTTCTAATTTAAGGCACACAAAAAATTATTCTTTTTTTTTTTTTAAATGTAGGTTTTATATTTTATTTTAAATTATGTAAAGGTTGTGTTATTTTTGTTGTTGCTTATATTACTTACAAAAAAATAATATTATGGATGATATAATCTTCACAAAACATAATAAGCATCAATGGTAAAAATTATATGGAAAAAACATATAAAAACAAACCTTATCAAAATATATGGCTACGACTCCTCCCTTCCTCTCAGACCTCTTCAAACCAGCCACATTACCAAGTGTAGAGAGATCTGGTTGGAATCCAGAGGGAATGCTGATCTCCTGTACAACCATACCTGTTTCTTTTTTCAACAACCATCTGATAGTGACAAATAATTCTATTTTAACCTCAAAATAAAGATGAGCTCTAAAAGATTTTAACCAAAATTGGTTATTTCTTTTTAATAAATAAGGTCTTACAATTTAAATTATACTTACGGTGTAACATTCATGTTATGGTAATAAAACTTAATTCAAATAGTAAAGATTGTTAAAGAATTTCTTGGTGACAACAGTAACTTACTGGTGTCTAATAAATAGTAGGAAACAATGTCATTCATAAAATTAGAAGATCCAGCATGCTACTATACAGGAAAAAAACATTTGGGCAATACTAAAAAAAATGAAATGGAAAAAGTGAATACTCTATATATGAGTATAGGTCACACTTTTTTATTTTAATTTTTTAAATAAAATTTAGGGTTGTAACATATTAACTCAACTTTGATTTTGCATGCACTTACCATTGAATGTGTAGTCATTTATATTAAAATTTGTATAATTGTTTCCTCTCTTGCTTACGCCACACAAGAGCAGAGGGCAATTTGTTCTTTGGGAGTTTTTGTTAAACATCATGTACTTTAGCACAATTACTTTTCAGTTTTCAAGTTGTTATGGAAAAATTTTTGTGATGTCTGTTAAACAAATTAAGTATTATTTATATTTTATGTTAAAAAAGTGCCTTGTAACTCCCAAAATGAATTGCTTACTTTGTACAAATCATCAAATTGAAAGAATTAATGCCATCATCCAACAGAACTGTGCTGACATCGAAGGAAGGTGTGGTAACTTCAGATGCTACATTGAAACGGTAATCAACCTACAACAATAACCTTAAACAATAAACAACTTTTAAAGAACTCTGCTTTTTTATTATTTTTTTTTTAACTTTTAGCAAAGATGAAAGTTTTTATATTGAAGGTCCATTAGGTACATTCAATAACGAAAAAACTTTTTATTGTTGGAGAGAAAATAGTAAATTGAATTGGGTTGGTGAATATCATTTCCGCTTTCATATCATTTGTTGTTGTCATGGTTTGTCTGAGTAAACATGGATCGGATGACGTTACCGTGAATTGAGAGGAAAGAAATAATTGAGAGTAAAATTATAAATTTAACTTTTTTAAATTTCATTTTTGGGTCTGTTTTAATTAACCCTATTTAACTTACTGGAATCGAGTTAAGAAACAACAAACATGATTTTAGAACCAACCCAAAGTAATAAAAGTAGGCGGCAACCATGAGCAAGCTACTCTATTTTAAAAAAATTTGAACATAGCCCATACATATCATATCAACATCATATAGTGATGCCACAAAGACATACAAAAAAAGTGTTTTTTTTTTTAAAAAAATGTCTCTCCTTATGACTGCAGTTCACAGTATTTTAATAACATCTAATTGTTTTAATATTTTTTTTGTTTTGTTTGTATCATTTTGTCAGTAAGAGATTAGTAAATGGGTTGGTAATATGTACAATTCAAGGTTTGAGAATCTCTGTTTATGTAGTGGAGAACAACAGCTCAATATAAATAATTTGTATCATTATCATCTCAAATTATGATTTAAAGAAACATATTAGGTACAAGCTATGTACAAATGCTACATAAGTGGTTCTCAAACTTTTAGTGATGGTATCCCTTGGTAACATTTTCCAAATTGTGCAACCAACAACCAGGGTAATTATTAGACATTGAGAAATTGGTGTTGGGAAGCAAACAGGAACAGTGGGGGTTGTGTGTGAAATGACAGTTAATTAAGCATCAATAATGTTTCATTCATAGCTTCTATACTTATCTGGAATTTTTTTTTTCATGATTAAAGTCTAAATTTTAAAAGAATGAATGGTTTACTTTTAAATGTTTATTGTAGCTTGAAAGGAACAATCAAAATTTACAAAATGTTAACAAAGACAACCAACTGTAAAGTTTAGGCAGAAACAGCAAAAGGGAAAGTAAAAGCAAAACAAAAAAAAACTTCAAAATTGTATAAAATATCATATATATAATATGATTATATTATAATATAATATATTATTATATTATATGATTATATATTATATAAAAGTGAAAATTTGTGGGTTTGTGGATTTGTTTGTTCAACAAAGGCTTTTACATGGATTGATGGATCTTAACCAAACTTGGCACATATATTTATCATTGTCTTGAAGGAACTCTTAAGGGGTTATGAACTTTTTATAACATTCCGTTTGGGGCCCTAATTCTCTTTTTTATTCTTACATGAGCTATATAAATAAAACTACCAATAAATGCTCCTACACGAACGAATGGATCTTGACCATATTCAAATACCAAAGGGTACTGAATTCATAATATCCATTCCGCTGGGGCCAAGGGCCCCATTTCATTTTTCATTTTATAAGCTATATAAATGTCAATAGGCTTAGACAACGCTATAGGCTCTATGTGAATTGATGTATATAAGCCTAACTTTGTAGCAATACCCTTCTTAGTCCGTATTGGAATATAGGTGATTTAAAACTAATAATATCCAATCCATGCAGGGCTGATCAAGAATTTTCTAGAAAGTTCGATTATTTAAAAAAGCTATATCTATGGCATTTGAAAGCGATTTTAATGGGAAAAATTTTTAAATTTCAACTCTATATATTATCTGAATTATTTTTTTTAAACCCCCCCTACCCCTTCCCATAATTATATATATAATATTTAAAAAATCTATATTTATTTAATTTGAAAGCGATTTTAATGGGAAAAATTTTTAAATTTCAACCCTATATATTATCTGAAATATTTTTTTTAAACCCCCCCCCCCCCCATCTGAGACATAACTAAAAAGGTACTTTATTAAATGGGCCCCCACTGTTTATTTCAATTTAAATGAATTACAGTTTTAGTAGTACAATTTAGTTTATAATTAAATATTTCGCTTTTGAGAAATAATTATGTAGAAAAGTAATTTTTTTCACGTTTCATGGAGGATATTTATTTTAATCTAGAAAGTTCTAGTAGGTTCTATATTGTTCTACAGGGATATATAATGGGATCCAAAAGATTATTCGAACAAAATCGCACTGGGCATGATCCAATAGAGGAACAGGGTTCTAATGGCGAATGAGATCCAACAGTAAACTGGAACCCATTGTTTACGTGATCCTATCAGGAAAGGGATTCCATCGGGTAACACGATCAAACCGGGATTGGGATCCTATCCCAAAAAGGGATAAAATTGGAAAAGAGAGTACCTAAGTGGAATGGGATCCCACAGAGAACGGTATCCTAAAGGGATTGGTAGCCCACCAGGATCCATGGAGTTTGAGATCCCATTAAGATCAAGACACCGACAGCATCGGCATCCCATTGGGATCTGGATTCCCCCTGGATATAGAGCCACAAGAAAACGGGATCCCACCATGAACGGGATCACACCAGGAAAAGTGATTGTGCGAGGATCAGGGTCAGAATAGGATTGGGGTCTTACCAGGATTGGGGTCCAAATGCAATCCCCAGTAAAGCCGGGTATATTGGCTAGTAATTTATAAAAATGAACAGAAATATTCTAAGTTTTCAATTAATTTAGATGCTTATGTCCACCATATTAATAAAAGTTTTTATTAACTTTGTTTTTATCATGGTCTAGTGACAATATGTACTTAGTCTGATCACCGCAACATAAATAATATTTAAATTTCAAAACGAATTGTTGTAAAATTGATGAAAAAAAATGCACATCATTAAATTAAAACATCACTTTTCTGAAGTTTTCAATCAACTCCTGTCATATAAGCAGACAACTCCTTATGGGTTTGCGATCCATGAGTTGAGAACCACTGTGCTACATCATGTTATAAAGTTTGAATAGTGTTTTTCTAGCTAATTTACAACACAATCTAAGCTTATTAAATTATGGAGACTTACATCAACAAGAGCAAATCCAGTTCCTGACGCACTGATTGATATCTCTTGTGGGGCACCTGAGAGCTGTTATAAGCAAGAAAAACATAAATGATAATAATTGTCGACAAGCCTGGCATTTTTATTAAAATTAATAAATAAATGTAGATATGGAATTGGTAGATACATAAGACATCACAGCTTATGATAAAAAATTGATAAGTTTAACACTGTATTGGAAGCTGAAAATGAAATCACAGCTTATGACCAACATTGACAGCTTTAACAATTATTAACAGCTATTTCTAAGATATTAAGTCATCAAACAAAACCCATGAAAATCAGACTAAGTGTGTTAGTTAGTTTTCCATATAAATAAGAGACTGCAGCTATCCAAATAATATAATTTATCCAATCTAATATTCTAACAATAATTTAATAATGGTATGTGTTTAAAACAATACACAAAAGTTTATTTTACAGTTATTAGGTTAAGATGCAGCTGATAATTTAATACTCAGATAACTTAAACATGTTAGTGTTTCAAAAGGAATATTTGGTACCAGTGAAGAGAAGTCAAAAATGCTAAAAATTCTCTTTCTTTCTATCTTTTTATCTGCATTTTTAAATTATATTTTCATTCAGGGTAAAACATAATGATTGCCATACATTATATCAATGGGTTTTTTTCAAATAAATTTTACTAATTTATAATATATACACTTTCTTACAAGGGGAAAACTTTTATTATTATTAAATAAATACCTCTGTTATTTGCAAATACAAAGCATTTTCTCTTGTTACATAAAAGGTAGACAAGGGGGTCGGAGCAGTTACAACAATTTGAAGATCAGTTTCTGGTAGCAATGATTTGGCAGCAAAGGCTGAGAGAGCTTGAAGTCCTACAACTGTGTCCTATTTAGGTGAGAATACCAAATAAAACCTGTGACAATGGTATCAACCTGACATTTTTAGATAAATAAAAATATTGATTGCTTATAGGTGTGTGTGTTTTTTTTTAATAATTATATAATGCACTGTCTTAGGGATATAAAAATTCCTTCATTAAGTTTCATATATACAAGGCTCACCTGAGAAGATGAGAAACCACCTTGAGCATTTCTCTGTGTAGTCAGCCACCTGACAGCTGGAAGGGCCTCGTCAATGCGACCCAATTGAGTATATGTTAAAATAGCATATGATGTAATCAAAATGTCAATGGGTCTAGCCTGGATTCGGGGTGGACGCCATTTGAAGTAGTGGGATTGCATAGGTTCAAAAGTTGTGCTGTTTGCCTCCCAGTGTAGAAGGCCACCTGTGGATAAAAGGGCAATTTAATCATTAAACATGCATTGATATAAATGTTTCTTTTAGATAATAAATAGCATTAAAAACTGCAGTTCAGTTTAATAATGATAAAAGCATACAAAGTAAAATTAATATAGCCTACAAAAGCCTATGAAAGATATTAATTTTACTTATATTCCATTTCATAATAATTCCGATGAAGGTTTGGTACTTAAATACTTATGTGATCTTGTAATTATAGAAATGTAAGTGCATTTAATTTCATTTACCTAACATATATTTACTTTATTTTTTTTTTATAGTTCATTACACATTCTTTGATATAAACTTATTATTGAAAGAAATCATAGTTTTAATTTTATGGACTAGGCTTAAACCTTCAACAATATTCTTCCTACCTCCACTTTGGGAAAATGTAAGAAGTTTCTCTAAAGCCGTGTTGGATGCAGGACTTTTTGCCTTGCTTAGTGCATAGCTGACTAAGGCCAGAGGAAACTGATCCCCAATAGCATTACTGGCCACCAAATTTTCCAGATTAGTCCTTGCTTTTTCAGTGGCATTTCCCCAACGTTCATAGTAGTTACATCTGAAACCTCCCTCCTTCAGACATGCCTTGTAATGCAATGAAACATGTTTTCAATAACAAGAGAATTAGAATAAAATATGGTCCATTTAAATGTTAGAGATATTGTAATATTATGTTATACTTGGTATTAATTAATTTTTTTAAACTTTGCTAAACAAGGGTTTTGAAGCATCTTTAATTTTTTTAATGATCAAGAAATGTTAAAAACTTGAAATAGGACACAAATAAGATAATCACCTCCTTCTCCACATAGTTCTCAGCATCCAACAGACTCAACAAAACAAAGGCCGTCAAGGCAGGTCCTGTGCCTGTTCCCTGCAGGATAAAATATGTATGCTGAGTAGAACTAATAATGGTTTATTTAAAAGACTACTTGAGGTAAAAAGAATGTTTTGTCCTCTTACTTAAATAATAATTTAAAAATTAAAGGTGAATGATACTAAGAAACATATTTTAAATTATTAAGTGAAAAGCATTTGAAATGGCTGATATTCAGTAAAGAATTTTATGTTACATCTAGCAAAGTTTCCAAGGTTGATATATAGACTACCTGTGTATTTTTGTCCAAGACTTTGCCAAATTCATTGAAAGAACCCTCCAAATTTTGTCTATCAATGATCCACATAACAGATGTAGAAAGTATTAGGGGATCAACATAGATGAATTCACTGGCTTCAGAGAGTATTCTGAATGTCAAAGCTGTCAGCCTGAAATTATTTAATTGATATAGTACAATTTTTAGGCTAACATTTTTTACAAACACTAAATAAAAAGGAAAGAGATGCTTAACATTTAAAACAATTAAAATGTCAATGTTAAATAAAAATAAAAAATATACATAAATTGATGATGGAGGCCATTTTGTATTTACTTTATTTATAAGGAATTGAATTACAAGATCATGTCAATTACTCATAATCTTTACTGTAAATACATCAAAAGTTCTGGATTACCAAAATAAAACATGAAAATAATTGTCATATCATCCCTTAAACTGAGTTATCTCAGATCATAAGTTAGTTTTCTAAAATTGCTTGAAAACCATTTAGACCAAACATTTACTATTATATCACCCCAACATTTTTAACAGGGTCCATGAGATCAACTGCTATTATGACCATAATGCCCTCATTTGTGTATATAAAGTCCTATCCTATATTCTGTGAAATAGTATAAATTCCATTTGAAACCACTTACCAAGTGCTGCCAGTTTCATCATAGTTGCCAAAGGGGCTGAATCCACCATCGAATCTTCGGTAAGTGAGTTGTCTTTGGTAACCTGTTCAGCAGGTAGATGGGACAAATAAGAGCCAAAAAGAGTTTTTCAAGTTATGTTATTTGCTTGTTTAAACATAGATGATGTGAAGAGCAGTAAGTTCTTTTAAAATAATGCATGAGTTTTTACCACCTCCTGTCATTAGGCTAAACAATTTATAAGAATATTTAAATTCTGATTTAAGCTTCAAAAAAGACCTTTCATAATTATACTAAGTCAAACAGCCTTTTTAAGAATAACAGTGAAAACCTTAAAGATATAAGCTTTTATTGTTCTTGATATTCTACTTTTCATGCACTATTTATAACAGATTTGATCTCACCTGCTTCTAATACCTCAATGATGTGTCCTTTCGAAGCATGTGTCAGTTGACCTGTGGCATTGAGGTACTGGGCAATGTAAAGGTCAGGGGCAAACCTAGCAAGACTCTGCTCACCACAACCAGTTGGAAGAGTGATGAATGACATCAAGCTGCTTGAACCAATTAGATCACCTGTTGTGGATATCATATGATGTTTTGAGTTTAAACATTTTAAAATTCTTTAATTACAAACTGGCAAGATTTTTAAAAATTTTTAATTAACTTTAAAAATATGTGATGAGCATCATATTTTACATAAGGTAAATAGGAGCCAGAATGATCAATGCATGGATAGTGGGCCCTTAATATATAGAGAGAAGAAGAAGGTATGCAATGTTAGAGTAATTAAATTCATGTTAAAAACATCCACAAACTTTGGCTTTTCTTTTTAAATGCATCACAACATTAGAAAATCAGCTCAGTTTATTTCCATTAACATTTTAAGTTGTAGAATTAAGTTATTTCTATAAATTACAGCAATGGAAGCAATCTGAGGAAATACTCAAGAAATAAGTGCTCTAATAAAATGTATTACATCTACTAACTTATATGCTTTTTAAAAATTTATATATATATATATATATATATATACCGCCTAATAAAATACATTAAATATTTACCAGAGGCTTTCACTCTGGCTCTTTCTGAGCCGACAACAACAGAGGGGGGAAGGGTGAATGTAAAACTCTTTTCAAATTTCTGGGTAGAATTGCTGTCAATGTTGACAAACACAGGGACATTGTAGCTGACTGGAGCACCTTCAGGCTGTAGATTAATACATTCATAAATAATTTTGAATGCAATAAACAGTAAAGAAATATATATATATTCTAATGAAAAAAATAAAGAACGAGGTAAACAATATCTTCAGCAGGTAATTGTACTATGTGGCATCCACTTTTTTATCTTCTCATCTTTTACCTTTATTAAATACAATAAAGAGCAGGTGTGCTTACAGTTTGCAATTGTGAGTCATTGAAAAATAAAAATTTCTAAAAACAAGAAGCTATGTCACTACTGTGCCCTACCTTGACAATTATCTGTCCGTACACACCATCTGCCGCCACCGTGGATTGAGCAGAAACTTCAAAGTCTACAAAACCTAATGCAGTTGATAACATTGGAAAATAGGCAACTCCTTGTTCACCTGATTTTACCTGAGGGGAATTCAATTTTTTTTCAATTGAGGTTCAAACTCATTCACTAAATCAAATGACCTGGAATTTTCTTTTCTATGATCTTGTAAATTTATTTTCTATGACCTTGTAATTTTATTTTATTTAACCTTGTAGTGTTCTTTACTATGACCTAGAAATTTTCTTTTCTATGACCTTGTAATTCTGGTTCTGATTCTGGTAATGTCCTTTTCATCCTCTACACTAAACCTCTATCATCTCTCATTAGCCACCACTCAGTTTCCAGTCAATCCTTTGCTGATGACACTCAAATCAGTGACTCTTGCTTTCCTGATCAACTTGATGCCACAATCCTTCGCATACAGGAGTGCGTGGACGATGTAAAGCGTTGGATGACTTGCAACTGAAGCTAAATGATGATAAAACGGAAATCCTTCTCATCCACTCTCAAAACAAACCTCTCCCTCCATTCACTCCTTCTTCTATATCTATTGGCAACTCTGACATCATACTCTCTCCCTCTGCCAGAAACCTTGGAGTCACGCTTACAGACACCCTCTCCATGGACAAACATGTCACGAATATATGCAGATCACCATATAACAAAATTAGAAAAATCAGCACCATTAGACACCTCCTCTCCTTTGATTCCAAAAAAACTCTTGTCTCTTCACTCATTCTTTCAAAATTTGATTACTGTAACACTCTTCTCGCAGGCATTCCTCAACACCACATAGACAAACTTCAGAAGGCACAGAACTCAGCATGCAGACTCATTTTTAAATCAAAGAAACATGACCACATTCAACCACACATGCGGCAACTCCACTGGCTTCCAATATCCTCTCGCATCAAATAAAAGTCGGCCAATCTTTGCTTCAACTCTTTCACTGACCCTCACTTTCCTGTCTATCTCTCTGAACTGTTGCTTCCTTACATCCCCACAAGACAACTACGTTCTTCCATTGACAGTAGAACCCTCTCAATCCCAAGAACCAAAACTAAGACCATCGGTGAACGCTCCTTCTGCTTCCATGGGCCCACGTTCTGGAACCAGCTCCCCTTCCATATCCGTCATTGTGAAACCTCGTCCATTTTCAAAAAGTCCCTTAAAACTCATCTGTTTAGGTATGATGTTGCTATTCTAACAGCTCCTAGCTGATGCCAGGGCAGCCTTGAAGCTTTTGACTGATGTCGAGTTCACAGTGGCATCGTTCAGGTTGTTCCATGCTATTATTGTGCGTGGGAAGAAAGATTGTTGCTACTGCACTGTGTTGCACTAAGGCACTTTGAAGCATTTGCTATTGTTTATAGTGTAATTGTTTATGGGAATGTCAGTGGTGAAGTCCGTGTTCAGTGAGCGTTTTGCTCTGATCAGTCTACCCGGCTTCTGTGGGGTGAGGTACGTGCCTGCTGGGATGGCCGGCATCAGTCCCATGATCACTTTATATAAGAATGTCAGGCGGAGTCCCTCTCGTCTGTCAAATCTTTTTTAGAGGCCAGTGACTAAGCCAGGAGTGATGGATTTGTAGTCGCGAGTGATAAAACGCACCGCGTTTCGTTGAATTCGCTCCATCGTTTTCACGTCTTGTTTAAGGTGATCGCACCATATTCCAGTAGTGGATGGACAAGTGCGAGATAGGCATTCCGTTAGCAGGAAGTTGGGCAGTGGCGCAGATTTCTTCGGATGAAACCTAGGGTGGAGTTGGCTTTTTAAAAAATTTTGTATATATGTGGCGACAATTTTAGGTTATTGGAGAAGAGAATTCCAAGGTATGGACTATTGGATACTTGTTGGAGGATTGTCTCGTTTAGTGAGTAAATATGAGTTGATGTCTTTTCTTAATTTTCTTTTCTATGACCTTGTTATTTTCTTTTTTATGACATTGTAATTTACTCTGTGACAGTTGCCTTAATTTTCTTTTCTATGACCTTGTTATTTTCTTTTTTATGACATTGTAATTTTCTTTTTTATGACATTGTAATTTACTTTTTTATGACATTGTAATTTACTTTTTTATGACATTGTAATTTACTTTTTTATGACATAGTAATTTACTCTGTGACAGTTGCCTTAGAACATTATTCCAATTTTCTGGTTCATATAAATCTAGTAGTCAAACATTGGTGGTATTGCCCTTAGGTAGGCCTATAAATATACAAAGTGCTCTAATGTATCTTTAGGTATTCTTAAATGTGAATGGTCTACATTTATTTTGGCTGAGCAATATTTTTTTGCTAATACTATGGCAGCCTGTTCCATCTGTCAGGATGTGCCATTTAACATTTTCTGAACAAAGGAAAATGCCACCACCCTAACCCCCCTCCCCCCAACATCAAGCTTGGGCACAAAATCAGCATGTGGCTACTGTTAATGGGGCCATGCTGTCAGGTCATGTCATGTGGCTACTGTTAATGGGGCCATGCTGTCAGGTCATGTCCTTGTTTTTTTGCCTATCTTGTTGAAAGTAAGAGAAAGTAGGACAGTGTTCTGTCCTTATTTGTGTCACCAGACTCTGGTGTTGGTGACTCAGTTTCCACCAGATTTCAAGGTCTCATCAAGAGGGGATCTAGAATCAGAGAAAATGACCACATCAAATTGTACAAGTTCCCAATTCTGAAGTATACTATACACACTATCCAGTGCCCTGATACTTCAATCTCCACATCAGAGTTTGATGCTGTGGTCCTACTGGGCTCTGAAATGTCCTTGTTTGGTGGCCCTCCAATACGGTGTAGGACAAGTGCACCGTACAACATATTTCTTTATCACAGATTCGCCGAGCCATCCATAAGCAAACCCTTCAATTGTTTCAATGACAGCTGCTTTCTAGACAAGTGCAGGGCTGCATTTTGCTACTGGTGTGTCATTCAGAGTCATAAATATTGGAAGGTGCTCCATATGGTAAGTTAAATGGGATGGAGGTATTTATTTTTCTGTTCTTTGGGATTTTGACTGTCCTTCCAAGTTGTAAACTTAATGGATTATTACTTTAAATGATTGTGTACAGTATCTAAATTAGAGTGAATCATAGCTTAATTCATTTACTTATTTTAGAAACTTTATACATTCACAACCTGAAGGCAACAAAAGGTTCAGTTTTTTACTTAACTTACGGCAACAGCAGTTTCTTGATTTCCAGTGACTAAAATTTCTGTACCATTTTCATAAATGATGATGCTCTTGAACTCTATTTGACCTTTCAGTGTGACCTTCACCTGGAAAGTGGTAAACATTTTTTCATGTAATAGCTGCACATTACATTTACAACAGTGTCACTATTGTACTATTTTGCATGACTACTCTTGTATTTTCTTGAATTGGTTCTTTTCAAATAATAAATTATATTGAAGAGTCATTTTAAGTATTATTGATGTATTTATGTGAAGGCCTATACATTTAAATAAAATTCATTGTCACATGAACAGAAAGAAAAAAAAATATTCATCAATCTTATTTGGGGGCATTTATAAACACCCTCATGTGTCAAAGGGTTTGAGGTGTCAAAAAGTTGTGATAAAAGTGTCTAATTGTATTACTAACTGTAATGATTTAAGTGGGAAGATCTGGTAAAATAATGTCTTACTCTGACTCTTTAAACTTTGAAGCAAAAGTAAACAACTCTTGTTGCAATAGAAAAGTGAAATTTTAAAAAATTAAAAATTCAATTTTGTATTTTTATTAATTTTGCAACAGAGATATTGAAAGGAATTAAAGAACTAAATGTTAGTGATCGGGTTTTGCAGTGTTATTAGTTCAATGTTTATGTTAATGTCAAGTGCAATTGAGTTTAAATCGCTTAGATCCAATAATTACAAATTTTAAAACCAGAATTCTTACCTCAAGATCTGATGGTAGGTAATTGAAAACTGTGGCTTGAACAACGAATTGCTCATGACGAGTAACAGAACGGGGATAAGTCAGGCTTACAAAGAAAGGCATGAAGACCTTAAGCTGAGAATAAGAAATAATTTATTATTTGACTATGAAGAGAACTCAAATGCAGCATAAAAATTAACAATGGAAAGATAGAAATAAAAAATAAAATGCAGAACTAAAAACAATAAAAATATCATTTTTTTGAATTATTCAATGTAGAAATATAATGCATAATCTAAAAGTTTAATTTAAACAAATATTTTAAATATTTCTACTCTTGTACCATTTACTTTGAGGAATTTACTCTTGTACCATTTACTTTGAGGAATTATTAACATTATTTTTATCTACTTATTATTGGAGAGACAAAGATTGTCAGAAAGTAGCATGGACATTTATAATATAAAGTAAGCACTCCACAGCCTAGAAAGTTCCTATGTCTTAGGGGGTAATGAATAGCAGTAATATAAACCAGTCAAATCTTCTCCAGTAACATGCCAAATAAATATATTTTTTTAGCACTAGTTTGATGTCTTACAGTTATGACATGTGACTGGAGTTTTCTCTGCAACAGAGCCTGATGGGAATGATTAGCTGGGTTTTTGTTTTCTTCATTTTAATAAAATTCTTTTCACTAGTATAAAGATTTATAACTGTATTAGTATAAATATGGTGCTGGGTGGCCGAGCGGTCTAAACTGTCTCAAACCAAATAGTTGGTGGTCTGGAGTTCAATCCCCACCAAAGGCAACATCCCAGCACCCCGGGTGGATAGGACTCGTAAGCGTTGGACGGCCACCCATCTAAGAGAAGGCAAACTCTGAATTTAAACCAGGAGCCAGAATGATCAACAAATTGATCATGGGCCCCTCTAATATAAGAAGAAGAAGAAGAATAGAAATGAGATTTTTAAAATTAACAAGAATTGATGTAGCTTTACTGATGATAAATTTCTATTCTTAGATTCTAATTCAAATTATGGTTTGACACAGAAAGTAGTAACAAGGAAATGTAATTGTATGAGACACTGCAAATGAAGGATTGGAAATTTCAATGTTTAAAAGCTTTGTTCCATTTTTTTTTACCAACGATGTAAAAGGGGCAACACCAAGTCCTGATGTCAGACTGGTAGAAAAAGCACTGGCCACCCAGGATGTAATAGTATCTGGAACTTTTGCCTTGAAAATAGCCTTGCCATCAGGGCTGTGGTGAAGATAATTCAAATTACAAAATAAACATATATATTTAAAATGTATAAAAATAATGTTAAATTAATTTAAATTTTCAAAAGCATTTTTAAAATGTTACTTATATAAGAATCTATTTGGTATGTTAAATTAAGTTACACTTATTCTTTCAATAGGGCATTTCATATTTAAATGAGGAAACTTTCAGTGTTCAGACACAACATAGGTCACGCCTAATATATTTTAAGATAATTAACTAATAAAATATTTTAAAACATAAGTAACAGACTTCTTATTAAGGGGATTTACTGTACAAGTAAATTTTTCTAAGGTCCAAATATTTTTTTCTAAAATGAATATAATAGCTTTCTTGAAATAAATAAATCTAAACACAATCCATTGCAATTATTTAAACATGAAATTTAAAAAAGTCAGACATGCATTGATAATATCATGCAAAGAACAACAAATATTCAATGTTTTTTACCTAGGTACATGCATGCTAACCATGCAAAGAAATCAAATGATTGAAAATAATTTTGAAATATTATAATTAATCTTTATAAATTTTATAAGCATATTAGAAGCATGGTCTTTAATTAATATGCTGAGCTTAGTGGATGAAGGGAGAGAACTCAGGAAACTACAGGCTCTTAAATATTTATTTAATGAAAAATTATTTATATAGATCTGAGAGTAGGATGACTTAGTTTATAATTCTATTCCTTTTTTTTAGACCGGTACTTTCAAGGCTTATTGGTTGCATACCCTAATAAGGCATTATTTTATTCAAATAAGTGGTGAATAGCTTAATACTGATATGACTATTTCAGTGCCTTTATTATTTTATTGACACATTTTTTTTACTAAGTGGTCCCCAATATATTATTTATAAATTGAAAGACAATGCTATTTCTAATTTAACAAATTCTATATTTAATAATGGCATTCAATTTCAAAATTAATTTGATATTTCACAACTTTTAATTTTTTACTAAGTGGTCCCCAATATATTATTTATAAATTGAAAGACAATGCTATTTCTAATTTAACAAATTCTATATTTAATAATGGCATTCAATTTCAAAATTAATTTGATATTTCACAACTTTTATCAGTCCACTCATCACACCATCCCACTCCAAAAATAATTTAAAATTTACATTTTACAAAATTATCAACCAACATTTGTTAAAGTTTCTTTTAAAAGTGAAAATACACATTTCAAATTGTTTAGTTGTTTCCCTCTAACTTAAGTGTATAAAATGCATCCACCAGATAATATACAAGTATGACTGTAATACTAAGATAATGGACCTAAATCACTTTACCCTAAGGAAGCAGTCACCCACAACAAAGCCTTTGGAAAGACTTTCCGGACTTGGCTGATTTCCATCAAGGGTGCTGATTGACTATCTAATTCAGAAAGGCCAATTTTCAAAGACTGAGAATCCATGGCCATTTCATTGGGTGGTGACATTTGAAGTCCTTGTGCAGCAGGTGAATAATATGAAAGTGCATCTAATAAAAAAAATATAATAAATTAACTGTAAAGAGTAATTTAATTATTATTGATTGTGAGAATAACCTTGATTGCCCTCAGAGGAATTTTCCTAATAGATTCTTTGAAGTTGTAGATGGAAAAAATTTATTAAGGGTTATTAATTTAAAGTNACTGAGAATCCATGGCCATTTCATTGGGTGGTGACATTTGAAGTCCTTGTGCAGCAGGTGAATAATATGAAAGTGCATCTAATAAAAAAAATATAATAAATTAACTGTAAAGAGTAATTTAATTATTATTGATTGTGAGAATAACCTTGATTGCCCTCAGAGGAATTTTCCTAATAGATTCTTTGAAGTTGTAGATGGAAAAAATTTATTAAGGGTTATTAATTTAAAGTCTGATTTTAATTGAAAAAAATGCTTCTCATGTTGTGTAGCACATTTCACTAATTTGAAAAAGACATACATCCATTTGCATGCAGGGCTTTGCAAACATTCTGGGCATGCGAAAAAAATATATGCTGTCTTCTCAAATAATTTTTAACACCTCTTATCTGTATCTAATTGAGCTTTTTTCCTTCTAATTTTCATTATAGTGGACATTAAAATACAGTAAATTGCATTACCTCACATTACTATAGTCAGAAGTTAGAAAACAGAAAACTATTGGTGTAGGTACCATGTGAGTTATCCAAAATTTTATTATAGGGTATTATGATATTTTAATCCATATATAAAAAATTTTGGCAATTTGCATAGCCAAAAGAAAGTTAAGAAACAATTTAAAGTGAGAAAGATATATTAGAAATAGAAATATGTCATTCATTTATTTAAGGGCTTAAATAGGATACCTTAAAAATACATACACAAAAGTATAGTTAAAGCAAATTTACTTGAAAAAATCAATAATTAAATTAGTTATTAGTTAAATCTGTCATGATCAGATAAAAGAACTATTTTTATATTCATATTACATATTTAAATTAATTTGAGCTTAATTTGTTGAAACTCTCTATATGAAATATTTTTTTAAAAGATGCATTCTTTTTCCTATTTTCTTTGTCAAAGTTTTTAAATTATGTCACTCATTATGTTTGATGGCTTTCCTGTACTTGGGATTCATAAATAAATCATTCAATTGCTAATACCTTGAAGTTTTTCTCAGATAAAATATTTTAGAATCCTTCACAAATTGCAGTTAATGAAACTGTTGCATGCACTTTACTTATCCACAGAACTTGTAAAAATAAGAAATTCTTTCTGGGTTCATGCTAAAGCCAAAATATCACTGCTTGTTCCTGGTAGGTAAAACTTTGTATCATTGTTTTCATCATACCCAATCTCAGCGCTCTTCCAAAGCCAAGCTTCTGGGAAGACATTTCTGAAACTTTTGACAACTTGAAGCTGTTCAGACATATCCATATCATACTCAGCAGAAATAGGCATTGGGTGTACATCATCAAAGGCAACTGTGGTTCGTTGCATGCCTGACCTCAAAAAGTTTGGAGAACCCATTGGGCCTCTTAGTCCTGAATAGTTTGGTTTGTTAAGTTTCAATTAATATTGTTTGAATATTTTAATACTGTACTTAGTAAAATAATTTTTCTCCACAAAAAATCTCAAAGAATTATGAACAGGGCTTTAATGCTTTAAAAAATGGGATGAGATTAGGAAGCAACTCTGAAATATTTCAAATATGGGACTGATAAAAGATTTAACTTCAACATGAAGGCAAATTTGATGAAAATAACAAAGTAAAAAATATTAATTATGCCTTGTTTCGCATGCCACATTGTTTTATTGAGTAGTGTTGTTACGCTTTTATGCTTTGTAACTGATCCATGTTGTGAAGTCACTACACTACAAAACAATGTGCTGTGTGAAACAAGGCATAATTAATATTTTTTACTTTGTAAATTTCATGGTTGAAACGGGATGAAAGACTTTGTCTTGGTATGCTTGTATGCAGTTTTATATTGTTGCGTCTGTTTTTAAATGTGGTAAATTTAAGATTTTTTTTTTATTTCTCTTTTTAATATGGTTGACTTTGTACCGCGCTTCGAGCTTTTGGGGATGAAGCGTGTTTTTCAAATAAACTTTATTATTATTATTTATTTATTATTTTCAAAAAATATTACTTAAGTCAAAGCTGTTTAAACTATTACCACATTCCCTAAATAGAATGAAAGAGATTTTCAAGGAAGCTTGCTAATAAATGACACTGCAATAAACAAAGTGGTCAACACTATGTTCTCAAGCCTACAAGCCAGCCTTTGACGTACATATGAGAGTCCCCATAAATCACTGATGCGGCTACACTCACATGTACAATGAGCTTCCCAGAATTTCTGGCAATAATAAATAAATAATATATAAAATATTTCTGTATATAAGTTTTCTTTTGATGAATGCTATTAAATAATGATAGGTTTAAATATTTTAGAATTTTTTACCAAACTGAGGCCTTTGATACGTTTGAGGAGCAGTCAGTGTCACATCTGTAAGTGTCTTGAGGCCTATGTTCTAAAGTTTAAAAATGAGTATTTTATATTAAATTTGATTTTTAATGTATTTGATTAATTGATTAATTATAATTGAAAAAGAACTCATCACTCATCTCATCCAACNGTTTGAGGAGCAGTCAGTGTCACATCTGTAAGTGTCTTGAGGCCTATGTTCTAAAGTTTAAAAATGAGTATTTTATATTAAATTTGATTTTTAATGTATTTGATTAATTGATTAATTATAATTGAAAAAGAACTCATCACTCATCTCATCCAACCTTATAAAATTATTTTCTCTCTCACAGATCTCACTCAATTTCTCTCAGTCTTCTATAAATAAACATGAGCATTTTAAAGAAAAGAAAATGAACAACTTTACTTGATTTAGCAAGAAATTAAAGCGTTTTATTATGATTGGGCTGATACAACTGCTAAGCTAATCGATTATTTTTGGAACTGAGAACCCAATTTTATTATCTGTGAATATATATAAAAAATTAATTATCATTTTTTAACTGAAAATAAAAAAGGCTGAATTCTCAGCAATTTAAAGAAAAAATTGAAACCTGCTTTAGAGGCTACTTACATAAAATACATCATGTGCAGATTTTGCACTAGAAGAAAGGGCATACTCAGAGTTTTTGGGTTTTGAGCCGGAATCAAAATCTGACATGGCATCGTTGACCTAAAATATAATATGTTTCAATTAATGTATGATGAGCAAGATATTTTTCCACAATCTGTCACTCAAAGCATGCATTAATAGAAAAGGTCACTCACAGGTTTGTAAATTTAATGTCATGTGATTATTAAAGTAGAGTGAGGTGACAGTAAAATGCATAGATTCAAAGAGGGAAGAGAGTTACAATTAGCTGAGCATTGCTAATGCTTGTTATGTGGTTTGTGAGGTATAAAAATCAAAATTGTATTTTGTTGAGATATAATTTCATCTTGCAAGCCAAAATGCATAGATTCAAAGAGGGAAGAGAGTTACAATTAGCTGAGCATTGCTAATGCTTGTTATGTGGTTTGTGAGGTATAAAAATCAAAATTGTATTTTGTTGAGATATAATTTCATCTTGCAAGCCACAAGTTATTGTTAAGACTCTTATGATCAAATGTTAAAAAAACATTCACCTTGTCTGGTGTGATATCATTTCCTGACTTGAGCAGCAATACACTCTGATCGACAACCAGGATGTGGACTTGAGAGTCAGGGTCAGCAGTCAAAATCACATCTACAGTTTCCCATGGCTTTGTCTCATTGACATTAAAATTGATTGACACCTGGGGACAAATGGCCTTGGTTTAAATGAGGTCACACCCCAGAAGTGAAAACAATAAGAAGCTAATATTTTCTTAAATTAAAATTGGCATTTTTAAAAACAAATTATATCAACTTGTATTAATTTGTGAGTTAAAGAGATTATTAAATACATAATATCTTAATTTATTAATGTTAATGTCCTCTAAGTCTATCAATATCTGAAGCAATGTAAGAATATCAGTTCATTATACGTAAAACTTTTGTAATGAAAACATTTTTTAGATTTTGGAATCAAATGGTCAGAGTTTTTGCAACTTTTTTTTTAAAGAATAGGGGTTGCTCTTAACAAAATATTAAATGGATAGTTATAGATAAGAATTTTCATATGATTAAAAATAACCACCTAACTTGGTTGATATTTACATAGATCATTTACTTTATTGAAATATTTTTTTTAAAACAAACCTTGTTTTCAAAGAGACCTGCAACATTAAATACTAGACTGTCAACCACAATTTCATCCTCACTCCTGTCATAGTAAATCACAAGATGGGCTGTTGGAGCCATTGAAGGGGTAACTAGAAGTTTGAATGTGAAGTCTCTTTTCCCATTCCCATCCAACATGGCTGTAGCCACAACTGAACCTCGGGACAGAACCTAAAAAAAAATTAATTTCACATGAGGCAACATAATGTAACTAAATGGTCACTTTTTAGAATCATTAGGTAAATTAAAATTTTTATTTAATAAATCCTGAAGTAATGAATGTTACCTGATAAGTCAATTTATTTAAAGGCTCAGTGCCAACAACTCGAACTGTCACATCATTACCTGACTGTTAAGGGAAAAAAAGGTTTACAAATTAATATTTAGAAATGTGTCATCTCTTGTCTATTCTTTTATTTAAAGGTTTATTTTTTCATCAGAAATTATATGAAGCACAAATTTTAATTGATAAACTGAATATTTATTGTAGATTTAATTGTTTCAAATTAAATTTTTTAATAATAATGTTTCTATTATAAAGACATTTTCAGCACAAAGATAACCATTATTATGCACAACTCAATTAAACATCAAACTTTATCAATATTTCTTTAAAACATTATTTAAAATATGGTATCATGTTGTCAATAAATTATATGAAGCTAAAGGTTGAGATCGACCGACAGTTGGGGACAACTATAAAGTGACAACTATTTGGACAAAATAATGTTTCATTGCTTTTCTTTCTAAATCCTTACTTATAATTTTAAAAATGTTACTAATGAACTGTTAAATCTCTGTCATATACTTTAATTTGCTATTTTCTTCCCATTTTTTTTCAAACACAAGAATTTCATTTATTCCTGTAAAAAACTTGCTTGATAGATTACAAGAATTTCATACAACTAAAATTGGGTAATAAAGTAGAATGTTCATTCAGATTTCCAATGCTCTGTGTGACAGTATATATAATTGATGATTATTCTTTTGGGTATTGATTAAATTTTGTTACCTGATTGTCCTGTGTTGTATGAATATTTGAACTTAAATGTGTGAATAATGTTTGGAGAACTGGAGGGAGTGATCATGTTAAGTGGGGTATAAAAAGAATAGGGAATTGTAAATAAAGGTTAGCTGTGACACAGACCACAGACTTGAGTTGGTATCTTATTATACTATTACAATCAGCACCACAAATAACTAAACAAAAACAACACGTTATTAAAATAGAAAATGTCCATTTTAAATTTGTTACTCAAAAACAATAAATATAAGTAGAGTTTCTTTTTCAGTTATTTTAAATTTAATTATAATAATAAATATATTTGTTTATAAATAGTTTTTAGTTACTTCAACAGGAATGAAATATGTTATGTTTACCTTGATATTTTTTTCTAATAGTGAAGTTTGGATGTAGTTTTCACTTTTTGAGTATGTTTTCTCCACTGTTCTAGTGTCAGAAATGGAGCCATAAGTTACCTGATCAGATTATTTAAAAAAATGAAATAAATGAAATCTAAGAAAAAATAAGATGTAGAGCTTCAATTAAGGTAGATTAAATAGGGATCACTCAAACAGAAAATCAAGAATGGTGTAAGCAGATTAAATGTAATTTATTAATTAATAAGATGTGAGTGTAGTGCTTCTGAAAACTAAAACCAACATAAAAACCAAATAAACTTACATGGCACAACTTATTTAAGATTTTTCAGATGATTAATTTATTCACCACCAAAGGAAAGAAATCAAAGTAAATGGGAAAAAAAAAACAGTCTACTCTATCAAGATTAAATTGATATAGTATATTAATTTATTATAGTGCATTTTATCAAATTCCTCTTTCAAAAAATGATTGCTAAAGGGCATTTTATGACTAACTTTTGTGTCAGTAAAATGACATTGCTGTTTAATTTCTATAAAACAATTTACCTTAATTGTAATTGATGTTGCATTTTTTGGGATATCAATATCTATTGGTAATACTCCATTTGCTGGGAGTGTCAAGTTTTGACCTAAAAGCGGATATGATCCTGTGAAGATATGTGTTCCATACAGACTTTGATCTGGGAGCTTTTGCTGGTAGTTGACTAAGGTGTAGGCAGAAATGACTTTGTTGCCTTCCGTGGGGGGCATGTTGTCAGGACTTGACACCTGGACCTATGATAAAATAAGGACAAAATTATGATATCCATAAAAATTACTCATAACAGCATTGTATTCCAGTTCAATGGGTTTTTCAACCAAATTATTTAGTGGTTATTTAATTCAAATGTATTAAGTTGTTCTAAAGGCTTTCCTTTACCCATCATTTTGCAGATTTAAAATTTTTAACTAAGTTTTTAAATCAATATTTCACTTTTCTATTTATTAGTATTTAACCAATCAATTGCTACTATTTAGACATGACTAGTCTGTCATCTTTTTTTTTTCTATACGATTGTCTGTGACGATCTGAGGCTGGACCTTGTAAAATTTCTTCCATCGTAAATCCGCCCTTGGAAACCATTGTATAATAACTCCTTTCCCTCCCCTCAAGTAGCCCCGCCGCCGCTCAGCACGAGTGAGTTACCTTGTGATATTGTATTCCTGCATCAGTTCGCTCACCCCCCGAACATGCTATTTGCGGTCAACCATCCCACCGAACAACCTTGAGGAAATAATACCATTCCCCCCCTCATTTTTGCCCTGTAGACAGCAAGGCGGAGTATCGTCCCTTGCTGGAAATGCATTGTCTAGACAGAAAACTCACGCCAAAGCCTGAAAAAGGATGGTCACCTCAGTCCGATTAACCTTGAGGGTTGAAGGTCAAACCCGCAACAGTGAAAGTGATTTTCATTGGATGGAAAAATGACCCCTCATTTGAATCACCCAATTGAACCATCAGCTAATCGTCATCGAACTCGAATAAATAGCCTGAACAAGCAAGATTCTGCCTTTTATGATCTGATCACTTGACGGTGAATGCTGGAAGGATCTGCACTCAGAACTTCGTCAGCATGATACATAACTGCATCCTAGGATATTAGCAAGTACATGACTTTTAAGATCTGATCACTTGATTGTGGACGCTTGAAGTGACTAGACTTAGCACTTCACTGGCGTGATACTTAACTTCAACTGCTACCTAGAGTACTAGTAAGTACGCAACCATGATTTTGGTATTGCACTTG